TGATTATAAACATTTTCATTATATTGGTTGTAGCTTCTAAACCCCATCAATGAGTCCAACAATTAATGCTATGCTCGTGTTATACCCACCTCTTAGAGGCTATAATAGAAGTCCAAGGCAAAGGGCTAAGAGGCCTCTAGACCAATCGTTTATGAGACTTGCCATCCCCCACCCATTTGATAACCTAATTATTAACTTAAATATTATATATGGATTTACTATCACTGTTAAGCCATTATTTATCACCATCACTTATATACACATTAACTGAAGCTCTATTAATATTTAATACAACACTCTCCTAACCAATGTTGTAATGCAATTTGTCAGTCACCCCCTTCCAAGTGCTCCTCTATCCATATTCTTACCTTATCAAGCTCTATAAAAAGTTAGGTCATTCTATGAAATGGATAAATTTCCTTACTAAAAAAATACCACTGGCACTTATGATCTCAACCTTATTTATATCTTAAAAAATATGATCATAGATGTTGCCATATGGATCATTTTTTATTTTGTTAATGCCCATCAACATTTTTTCATTATGAATAATTATAACTAATTTCATTTTTCTTGAACTAGTTTCATTTAGATCAAATGGTGCAATACCAAGTTTTCTCTCAACTTTGAGATTTTATAAAAAATTCTTATTTAAGGTACTTTATTATATGACTCTCTAATTTATTTTGGTTCACTACAAACTTTTAAGCCAATTTTTTTATTAAATAGCATCTTTTTTAGATTCTCCTATACATCGTTGTTCTTCATCTAATAATTCCTGGTTTGTTATGGGATATTATTTAATTTGTTGCAGATTTTAATATACAAAATGGGGTTACTATATTTATATTTAAAAATAATTAACTACAATAATACATTTTGAAGTCGACTTAATTGATCTCCCTTCCAACATGCTACATATACTTGGTCTAATTGTTAACCAAAGAACCAAATCCATATAAAACTTAATAGGGTCCTTAGTAACTAGGCTTAGATTGATATTTTTTCCTTTCATTTTTATAAACTACTCCCCCTTCTTTCCTCTAACACCTTCCCCATTATTATTGTAACATCTTCCCCAAACCCTTCTCTATAGCACAAGGTCTTATCAGGACTATTAAAATTCAGTTCTCTTTTTTTTTTATATATGTAAATGTCTAGCTAGTTAAGGGTTATTTTCCATGGGGACCCACTTTTATCCATTTGTAGCAAGCTTAATTGTCTTAAAAAGCACATTAAAAAGCAACATGGGGCTTTTCTTAAGGGCATTTTTACTTCCCTAAAGAGCTTTGTCATTGAATAAACTAAACTCATCTAATGCTTAACTCAATCCTGAAACATAGCTTTAAATCATCTTATTATTAAAATAAACTAAATTTCTCAAATTTTCTAGCTCTAAAACTGCTCAGACATTTAAATATGCTAATCTGAAGGATAACTAGTTGAGAAGATGAACATGGATTAATATTTGTTAGAATTCAAGGTTGTATAAATTCAAATTTTATTAAAGAGATATTGTCTTTTAGCGTTAACTTACCCTCTCATAATGATTCTATTAATGCAGTCATTATTTACTCCATAGGCTATTCAGTCTCTTCATTGCCTACACACATTCTTACTGGTAATCAAGCGCTCCTTATATGTTATGTAGAATAGTCTTATTATTAATTAATTCATTAAAAATTTCTTGTTTTAGCTATTAGAAATTCAACTCTTGAACTTGATGATTTTACCTTTTAATTTCTTTCATTCTCTTTAAACATGATTTGAGATGTTGTACGCATGCCACAATAAAACATCATTTCACATGTAAGAAGCTTTATAACTATATTAAGGCTATTGATACTACCTTAATCTCAAATTCTTCTCATGATGATGATATTGCTAACTTCAGGCATATTCTCTATGTAATACTCTATGAAAAGATCATGTTGACCTTCTTCCTAACAAATTAAGTGAGGTTACACCTTTTATTACTTTTTATGCAAAAATGGGCTTATCGTATAATATAATATCTAAAGATAATATACTTCTTGTGAATAAGAATCTTAATAAATTTAGCTCCAAGAATGTCTGCAAGGCCTTTTACACCAAATTAAAAATCTAAAAGTCTTTGATACTATTCATAAAGTATTTATTATTAGCAAGCAACTTCTTAAAAGTTCTCTCCATCTCTTTATCTCTTAGATTGAAGCATGTATTAATGATGTTATATTGGAAAGGTTTTTAAACTCCTTAGTTAGGTTGGGGTGAGGCTTCTCACTTTTTTCTTATTTTGCATCATTATGGAAGACCTCTTTATGAAGTAAAAATGTTTACATTCCTTTATTATCTAATTTTTCTGAGATCAACATCACTTTTTATCATTTGTTCTTTCATGATTATACGCTTACCTTCAGGCTGACCACCACTTATAATCATCTTGTGTTAAAAACATTTTCCATTCCTTTCATTAAGCCTCCATTTTCTCTATCAATGATATAAAAAGTTTTACTTGCTTCTCCAATACCACACTAATGCTTAAGTATAAAAAGTTTTACTTGCTTCTCCAATACCACACTAAATGCTTAAGTACTTAATGATCTCAAGGGTTTCACCCTTTCTCATGACATTTTCTTTTACCTAAGTAACCCTATTGCTACTACTAAAATTAAGATGTCCTATTTTAAACCCTAGGTCAACAATGTTAGAAAAATTCTAGCTAGATAAAAAAGCCACAAATCTTTCACTTTTCACAACTTATTGCCTACTTAAGTTTGTTGTATTTAATATTGTTGCTTATTGGACGAGTGCTAATTTATTTCCCAAATGATTTATTAAGATTCTATATAATAACTTCATTAAGCTCTTTTATCATGAGATTATTAATGGTAAGAACTTGCACAAGCCTTTTTAGGATTTAATTGGAATTCACTTAGATGTAAATGTGGATTAAAATTATATCTTGGATTTCATCTCTAAGCAGTTTATGTGCAAATTTATTTGGAGACACTGACACTTTAGCAAGCCACTTGCTAATCAATTTTTTTGGAAAATATACTTCAATTTGAAGAAACATGTTTTTCCTCATGACTTTATGTTTTAGAAAAGGATTTTTAAAATTGCTAAGAAATTTTCACCCCCATCTCTCAAATTGTTGTGATGCAGTTTGATAGATCCCTCCATTAAGAAGTTTTATGATGTCTTGCATTAGATCTTAATATATTGTGACAATGCTCAAACCCAACTTACAGAAACCATGAAGTTTTGGCAAAAACCTAGGTAAGGAGAAATAATTAAATATAGAGAATTAAATAAGTTATTCGGATGTAACCATTTGATCATATGTTTATACGATTATTATGTGTTATAGAAAGGGTAATATTTGAATCTAATAAATGAAGGCATGACATATAAATTATAGACAGTGACATACATAAAGATATATATATATATATATATATATATATATATATGTGTGTGTGTGTGTGTGTGTGTATGTATATACATGGAGAAGTTGTCACTCTATATATATATATATATATGTATGTATATACATGGAGAAGTTGTCACTTGTGGATATATGAGCTTCTCTTAAGCTCTCAAATGAGTACTTATAAGGTGAGTGAATATAGTGCACACTCAGTGAGTTTGCTATAAGCTTAAAACTTTTGATCAGGGCAAGTGTCTTCTCAGTTTGAATTTTTAGAATTAGGTGAGTGATCCCTGAAATCATACCATATGCATTAGACAAGTGACTTTTAAATTTGAGCGAGTGATGTTAAGAGTCTCATTACCCATATTACTAAAAAGTTCACTTGATATCCCTAGTTTTAACCTATAGTACATAGTTGGGTAATCACTTCCTCCTCTTATTTTGATGATAAGACATGTTGTTCCCAATTTGACATTGAAGTTGCTATGAGCTAGTCTATATATTTACTTAGCTTGTCATTTATGATGATTCAAAAGTGGCCAACGCTCTTATTACATTAATTTCTTAATTATGTGTGTTTTATGTCATTCTCATAATAAAAGTATCATCCAATCCTACCTATCACATTTTTATTATAACGACATGCTTTGGACTGTCATCTTTCTTATTAGCCACTCATTTTTACAAAAGAAAAAAAAAAACAATAAAAAATAACATATTTTGGACAGGAGAAACATCTATTTAGATGTTCAAAATTTATGTATCATATCTATTCATTATATGGTGTACGTCATTTTAGCAGAAAAAAGAATTATGGATTTAAGAATAATACTTTTATAATAGTAGTTGCAATTTTCAAGGTAACAACCATTGACGAGAAGGTGACAAGTGAGAAAAAACAATTTGGATATGTTTGAACATTTTCAAAGAGATCTTTTAATTATGGGTGATTTGCTGTAAAATTCCATTAATATTTATTATCTATCTCTATTCTTTTGATTTTTTTACTTGGCCAATGGTGAATAGGTCTCTAGTTTTGACTCAACCCTTAGACAACATCTGCTCTTCACGTAGCCTTTTATCTTCAAGATCCTATTGATGCAATCAACCAAAGCTCTACGTTGTGTTTGACTTTTGATTGGCACATCGTTTTCTTGCTAATTCATGTCATCTTAATTAATTTATGCAATCATTTAGATTAAAGGCCTTGAGTTGCTTGGGCTTTGGCTTATAATTGTATCATTAATTATTCGTCTTCTGTTTAGTTTCTCTGCTATGAGATCAATTTTCACTTTTTTTTAAATCTTCAAGTCATGCAAGATTTATTTTTTTTCTTATTTTTCTCTTCCTATTTTATAGCATCATTGTATTTTTTTTATATTATAGTATAAATTGAGCTTAAAAGAAAAAAAATTTTTTTTATATTATAGTATAAATTGAGCTTAAAAGGAAAAAAAAATTTGCAAAAGTACTCTTTGTTCATCTAAGCAAAATTCCATAAAATGGCATTTTAAGTAATTAAACAAAAGAGCATGCCCAATCATTTTTGAACCAGTTCCTTTCCCACCGTCCTATTGCTCCTGTCTCTGTTTGCTCTGTTCTTTCCCTCGCCATTAAAGAAAAGGATCAAGAAGGGATAGGATGGAGAGTAGAAGAGCTCCGCGTGGGACGACGAAGGATCGGAAACCATCTCTCTTGAAGTGGGGAGAAGCATGAAGAGGAGTGCATCAGACTGGGATCTCGACGAGTTCCTGCCGGAGCTTCTTAGGCCGGTGGAGCTGCCGCCATCGCATGACGATGTTCGGCGGAGCCCGTCGGATACACCAGAGGGGCTACTCATCCGCTGGTCGACGTCGAAGATCATGGACGGTGTCGGCGACAGTGGAGGCGATGATGGAAACATCGCTGACGTATTTGGTTGCTTCAGCGATCAAGTAAGTTGGGCCGTTTTTCTTTTTAAGTCTTGTGCAGGTTTTCTTTTTCGTTTTTTCTCTGATCGATCAAGGGTATAAAAAGTTGCGGGAAGATTGCTCATACGACTTCAGTCAGCTTTGAGATTGGTAGTAAGGTTCACGGGAATCGGCATTAGTGATGATCTTATGTTTTACACCGATTTGAACGGGAGCGACCTTTCGATTTTTGCCGTGCATAAGATTGATTTTTATTTTTTTCACACACACACACACACACACACACACACACACACACACACACACACACACACACACACACACATATAATTTACCTTATAGAAACTCCATATTCAGCAATTAATCTTACTGGAGGCAAGCGTGGAAATTGTTTCTGTAGTAATCAACTGAAATGAATTCAGTGAAAAGAAAGAGAAGGAAGTAGACGATATATTAAGGAAACTATGTTGCTTTAAGCAATTTTGCTTTATTCAAAAGATAACAATTTATGATGAGACTTTTCCGTGATCACTATTGCGTGGCTCTTCATGGAATAGTCTTTGAAGCTTCGGGCAGCTATTGTACCACAAGTGCTAGGCGGATGACAACGATCTCTTAAGAGTTCTTGCACCAAGAGATTTATTTAATCAATCATATATTTTAACGCAATTTTTTCTCATATCTCATCATCTAAATATTTGGATTAGAAACTTAATGATCTAATTTTTTGATCATCCAAACTTCATTTTGAACAAACTTAGGGAATAGAGTAAATTTAATTCAAGCATGGAAGAAAAACAGAAGTAAACGTAGATAAACTAATATACTTTTAATATAATAGAGGCTTACCTAATTGATGGTTGTGTCATACTGCCATCACTGCATATTTCACTATGATTTTGTCGTGCAGATTACGTATGCAATTCATCTAATATAATATAAAAATAACGTCCACTCTTTATAAAGGAAACTTAGAGCAGTTGAAGCAACAACAACAACAATAACAAACTTTTATCCCACTACGTGGGGTCAGCTACATATATCCTTTTTCTCCATTATTTTCTATTGAGCATCATATTTTCATTTAATTCTAATAAATCAAGATCATTTTTAGACAACATGCCAGAGTTTTTTTAGGTCTACCTCTAACTTTTTTTAATACAAGTCAAATATTAAACATCTACTCTCCTAATTGGGTCATTAGATGGTCGACATTAATGTTGGGATGTTATGTGGAGCTGAAGCACCAAAGGTAACAGAGCAACCGACACATATGTGCTCACTTGTGAGTGCAGAGACAGTAAGACCGACGTGGCCACTCATAAGTGGGTGGCCGTAATGTTGGCGCCTATGCGCCAACTATTGGGCACATATGTGCCCCTTATACTAGCGCTCGACAAAATCATTGGCTCTTATGCACCAATTCCGGGCGCATAGGTGCCAAGAGCAGTTGACATACAAACCTTTTTGGTTTAAGCCGATTTCGAGCAGCGTAAGGTTAATCTTCCTCTGGCATTCTTCGAAAAGTATTCCGGTGAAGGTGAGAAGGGTCGAAGAGGTGGATTTTGGTTATTCAGCGTGATTTTTGTGTCGGATCGGGGAGGGAAGATTGTCGAGCACGTCTTGTAGGTTTCTTTATGTAAAGAGGAAACTAGTGTGAGTTCTTTGTAAAAACTTTATGAATTTCATAGTAGTTGGTAGTTGCTCTGTGTTTTTTTCACATAAATTATTCTGTGCTTTTCTGATTGCTTTTATTGTGCTTCTAATCATAATTTCGTTTCGATTTTCTCGAATTTTGTGTCATCTCGTTATTTTGCGGTAGTTTAGTTTCTAATTGATCCTAAGTCCCGGTAAGTTGGGAATTACTCCTATTTGGAATTTCCTATCAGTTAATGTGACCAAATCATCTAAGGAGACTTTCTAATCTTTTATGTTGCTAGAGCTACAAGTCAGGCCAGTTGAAGATTGAATAAAAGTTTCAAATCGTTAAAAATGAATTAAACTGTAAGTTAAATCCATAACCCATTTGTGTAGTGTTCTTCATTTATAGTGAAAAAACTAGACTTCACAACTCAAATTATAGTCTAAATAGTGTAGTTCGATGATATAAAGCCAACGGTATGAAAATGCCTTGATATGAGTTCAAGTGGGCCTAAACAAAACATTTGAATTTGTAGCTTTGAACACCTTATAAAGCCATTTGAGGGATCACATGCCCTCCGGACTTAAGATCGCCTAATTTCACGATTATTAAGGTAATGTGATGTTAAAAAATATCAAATAGTCAAAAGGGGATTGATTCACACAATTCAATAATGTCTTGATTCCTAATAAAAATTACCAATATGCCCCCTCAAAAAGTTTATATATAGTTATTGTTTCTGCATATTCAAAGGAAATCTTTTGGGTGGCTAATTTGTCGGAGAATTTTAGAGCATCAAACAATATTTGGAACCTTACCTAACCAATTTTAAAAATTTGCTTACCAAATTTCTTTTCTACTTTCTTGATCGCTTAACCATACCTCTAACTAGAAGAACAACCACACCAACCTTCTTTCCAGTGCTTGACTTATAGTGACGTTCATCGTCAACTTATAGTAACATCCTCCATCACTCATTCATTGTCCTTCCTTGTCTACTAACATCGAAGTCCACCATCAAATGATGTCGATATCCACAATCTTTCACTACTTTTCAACCTTCTCTGCTCCACTCGTAGGGGACCAAATCAAAGTTTATTCCTTGTAAATGTGTACTCCAACACTAGTAAGGTTTGTCATTGTAATCATTAACTTACATAATGCATGTGTTTTAACTAAGCTAATTCTGAAGGCCTTTTTTATTTCGAATTTTCTTTTTCTTGGTAAAAGTTGTATGCTTCTTTACAGAATTGAACTCCTTCAACATTCATGACTAAGTTTTCTTATTCAAATATAAACTAGATAGCAGTCTGAAATGATATAAAGTAATTTTCGTAGCAAATGATTATACTCAACACAATGGAATTGACCACTAAGAAATATTTATTTCTGTTGCTAATTTGATAACAACTGACATTTTAATATTTGCTTCTAATTTTTGAAGGTTCATCTAACAATATGATGTGAAAATGGTTTTTTTGCATGGGAATGTTAAAGAGGTTTATATGGATTATCCATCAGGATTTAACAGCTCCTTCACAAAATATAAGGTATACAGATTAAAAAAGCAATTATAGGGTCTTGAACAATCCTGATGGGCGTGGTTTGGCAGGCATACGAAAGATACATATTGAATGAGGAGATTATTCACTATTCATAAAGCATTATATTGACAAAAAATTTCAATTCTTATTCTATATATTAATGATATAATTATTACAGACGATGACATTTAATGAAATGAATTACTATGGAAAAAAATTATTACAAAGCTTGAAATCGAATAACTCATTAAGCTGAAATATTTCCTCCGAATAAAAGTGACTCAATTAGCAAAAAAATTGTTACCTCTCAACATAAGTATTTTGATTGAAAAGATTGAATGAAAGGCTCTAATATATCTTATATATAAGTATTTCGTTTACATGATTGAATGCTTCTTTTACTGTTGAACATATAAAACATGTTCCTTATTTAAAGAAAATAAATGAAATTTCATATATTGTTGTTATTAATGATCATATTTACAAGATTGAATTCTTCCTTTTTTTTTTGTTGAAATCAGGATGCCCCGAGTGGTCACTCTCCCGGTGGTCCATTAACAGGAAGCCAAATATGGTCTCAGAACCATGCTACATTGCATTCCAGTATTACTGCCACCATTGATTCTCAATCCTCCATATGTGGTATAATTTTTTTTATGGAAGATTTGCATACATACCGCTCAATTCCAATGTATTTATATATCTAACACCAAAACTTCAATTTTTGCATGCACACACCACCTTACGTATGAATGAAAAGGCATATTTCACTTTTAGAAGTTAAAATGATGGTATTTTTTATGTAATGTGAAGGATTTGGTTGGTATAAATGTAAAATGTAAAATTTAGATTCTAGATATTTAAATACATAGGAATTGGGTGCTATGTATCTAAATGCCCCTTTTTAATTTCCTCTCCTCCACTAAGAGACTGTTTTGTGCACTTGTGCATAAATGCTTCATTTAAAGTCCTCTCATTACAGTCTATTAGTTGTTGATATGCCTGGTTTCCCAGTTTTAGTTACTGCATACTCGAATATTTTATGCTTTCTAAGGACATTTACATACATACCACACAATTCTCATATATTTACCTAACACCTAAACATTCATATTTACATGCATACCACACATATGTTTAATATCACATCAAAAATACCACAATCACAATCTTCTTAAAGTCCAATACACCTTTTCATGCATAGGTTTATGACACCGAAGTGTTATAAATTTAAATATCAAACTATGTATGTAAATAATATATGTGACATGTATGTAAATGCAAAAGAATTATGTGGCATGTATGTAAATTTCCCTTTCTATAGTACAGGGACCTCGACAATTATTAGTCTCTCTTTTTTGACAGTTGGGAGTCCAACTTCCTCTCTTTTGCCTAAAAGTACAGAAAACCAAACCCTAGGAGGATCAAGTGGATCAGACCAGTCAGATGAAGACTCTTTGGAGACAGAAGCAGGAGCTTATGAGCATGGTACAAACACTACTGATTTAAAGCGCATGAGAAGGTAGAAATAAAATCTGTAAGATTTACTTATATACCACTCAATTCTTATGTATTTACATTTCTAACACCCAAACTTCAAGTTTTACATACGTGCCACCTTACAAATACATGAAAAGTTGTATTTTACTTTTTAAAAGTTAAAATGATGATATTTTTAATGTGTTATGAATGATTTGGTTTGTATAAATGTAAAAAAGTAAAGTTTAGGTGTAGATATGTAAATTCATAGGAATTGCGTGGTATTTATGTAAATGCTGCATAAATTTTTGTTTTATTTCTAATGTAGCCCGATGTAGTAAGATATTCATTCTTTTCTTTTGAGCTAGGGAAGAAAAAGAGATTAATCTTGTCTATCAGAATCCTTTGAAATGAAATGTTACATTATTTTCTGGTTTATTCCTCTTGTTTTAATGTAAATGTAGAGTGGAATTTGCCAAATTTGCTGAGCGGTAAACAAAAGCTGCCATTCAAATGCTAAAATTGGTCATGAGAATACAAAGAAAATATAGGATTAGTTTGGATTCTATCAATATTTTGATATTTTGCATGGGATGCAGTGTTTTGAACTCTAAATTGAATCATCGGAATAGAAAAATATATATCATCAAGGCCCGAGTCATTGAATTAACTCACTCTCAGCCCTTTTCAGTTACTACATGATGGTTGTGTTTCAATAATAGAAAATTTTGCAGCATTTATGCTAGGGAATTTCCATAATAGGTTCCAATTAATAGATGGCCTTGCTGCTCTTCCAGGATGGTGTCTAACCGTGAGTCGGCCAGACGATCAAGAAAGAGAAAGCAGGCTCATTTGGCTGATCTAGAACTGCAAGTGAGTTTTTCAAAGAATTTCTGAATTCTTACTATGATTAGTATATTTACCTTATATTTCTAATTAATGAATTTAAGAATAACAGTTTAATATTATTTTTACTCTATTTTTAATTTACATCTTGTTGGAATAAGCACATTAATGATTGTATTTGAAGTTTTCTTTATTTTTAAAATCATATTTAATAGTGATGTTTATAAAACTATCATCTGTTCATGGAGAGAAGTGAAAAAAAACATATAAGAGAAAAATCAATTAAGTTTTGAATGCTTATGCTTTGATTAGTGAGTCCATTTTGATAATGATTTGGAAAACCTTTCTCTAATGATTACAGTCTCTTTGATTTTCTTTTAAATGGCTCACTTCCTTAGCATTGATTAAGTAATGGTTAGATAAGTTTTTCTTTTTCTTCCAACAACTCAAGCAATGTTACGCAAACACACACATCATACATACATACGTACGTACGATACACGCACACACACACATACATACAGACTCACGCACGCGCATACAAGGCTAAACCAACATTATTTTTTAGAGTGGGCAAAATAATCAGAAAATGTCTTTTTTTTTTTAAGTCTTGTGCAAAAATATATCCAGGTGGGTTGGGGGGGTTGGAAAATTACTAAATCTTCTCTACTACATCAAGAAAAAATATTAAATTTTATTATTTATATAGGGAAATCTCAAATTTTCCTGCAAATTTTATGTTTCTACACCTTTATTTGGCATGATTTTCTGTTATTTCTCTTTTTATCAGATTGAAGAAACTATATTTCCCCTTAAATTTGATTACCTCTTCGTCTTTCCCTTTCTCTTTCCATAGATCAGTGACTAGTTTTAGTACAAGGAAAGAACTTACTGGTAGGTATGGCAAGAAGAGTTTTGAGAAATTGATGCTGGTAAAAATAAGAGATATGTATGAGTTTCACTTAAAATTTAGAATGAAAAATACGGACTATTCAATTTATTTTTTTTAAAAAAACTTTCTTAATATTCCAAAATGAGATATATAAAAGAACATTTGTTTTAAATACATGAGTATAATATGTATATCTTATTTTTTGAAGTTATAAAATTCATTTATCGTTTGTGCTTTTTAAAAGTTACTGAAAATGGATGGTTTTTAATAAATTGAATGATCTGTATGTGTGTATATTATATATTATAATATCTCAATTTATGGTGAGTTTATCCATCACTCTTTCTGGATTGGGAATTTTATCTGAACGCCAGAACACGTACCAATATACATACTAAAATTCAGGCTTTATGCTTCCGCATATTTTGCTTTTGATTGATAAATGCTACAGCTGAGCCAATATTTTGCTTTTGATTGATAAATGCTACAGCTGAGCCAAATTCAGTAACAATGTTTTCATGTTGAACTTAACAAATATGTTCTGAAAAATAATAATATCTAGTTTGATTGTTCTGTCTATTGTAGTTATAAATTAGCTTTGGCTTTAAGCTCTACAAAATCTTTAAAATTTTCAAACGTAGTAATTTCAACTTCACACAAATTGAATGAAAAATAAATTAAGAAAAGTGTCAAAAGACTCTTTATAATGGGTCATTTTTAACCTCAGAGTTTATATAAGTGCTGATTGAGTACTTAGAATCTCTTAATGCAGGCTAAAATAGTCCCACTTTGAAGCAATATTAAGAAAGCATGTGAACTATCTCGACACTTCTATTATCACAAAGACTAAAATGGCCTCATGGAAATAGTCAAGGGACTATTCTGGCTCTTTACTCGAACTAAGGGTTCGGTTTGGGCAGCCTGTGCTTTTCCAGATAAGCGATAAGCCACTTATCTGGAAACGCGGACAACCGGGTTCGACATGCGTTCCACATTTAGTATAAAAAACCAACTACGTTTTTGGATAAGCTACTCAAACGCAGTTTCCAACCGGTGAGGCGGCATTTTCAAAATGCTGCCTAGCGGATAAGCTGCCCCAAACGATGCCTAAATTATATATTTTCTTTCTACAATCAAGTAAATGAGCCCCAATATGGTGCTTCAGACTGAACAGCAGCATTCTTGGTTGATTAATCAGGTTGATCAACTCAGGGGAGAAAATGCCTCTCTATACAAACAACTGACAGATGCAAGCCAACATTTCACTGAATCAGTTACAGATAACCGGATTCTCAAGTCTAGTGTAGATGCCTTAAGAGTAAAGGTAAGCTTAAAATTTCAAAATCATCCTAAATCTTTTGATTATTTTTGCTTATCATTAATTGTTGTGGATGGAAGCTTCAATGATACCTGTAAATTATGTTAGGAGCAATTTTTTTACAGTTTTATTTTACAAGTCATTGTCATATTTATGTTTGTCTACAACTTTTTTGTCGCTAAGTAGTGTTTTATAAGGGAGATTTACATGCATACCTCTCATTCCTATGTATTTACATATTAATTTAACACCTAAATTTCAACTTTTACATGCATGCCACCTTATCTATGCATGAGAAGGTGTATTTCACCTTTTAGAAGTTAAGATGGTGGTATTTTTTGTGTGATATGAAAGATTGAGGTAGTGTAAATGTAAAAAATAAAATTTAGGTGTTAAATATGTAAATACATAGGAATCGGGTGCTATGTATCTGTTACCCCTTTCTATAATTAAATATGTTAATGTGGCAGGTTGGCAGCTATAAAATACTTGATTTCTTAAACTAGTTTTACTGGCCTCTTTAGCTGTCCCAAAAACGTACTTTTAGGTTCATTTGGAGTAGTTTTTTTATAACTTTGCTTTCCATACACCTGTTTATTTTTATTTTCTCATTATTTCTTATAATTTTGGAGCATTTATTTACTTACCACCCAATTCCTATGAATTTGCACATAGAACGCCTGAATTTTACTCTTTACATTTATACCACCTAAATCTGTCATCAGATAAAAAATATCATTATTTAATTTTTAAAAAGTGAAATGCACCTTCCATGCATAGGGTGGTATAAATGTAAATAAATAGGAATGGAGTGGTATGTATGTAAATTTCCCAAATTTTTTTATGGTGAGAAGCTCTTTTTTATAATCAAATGTGCGACAGCATGTTAATTATAAAAAAAACCTGTTATTCAACTTTTCTCAAAAGTTGAAAATTATATAATACCCACATCAATCTTTTCCCTCAACCACTTTTACAAATAACAACTATTTCAAACATACCTTAAGGGGCTGTTTCGCCATAATTCATATTTACTTCAAATAGGATTTAAAATATTCGACAAATTCGGATTTATATTGACGGAGATGGTGCTTGCAGCACGACGGAATAAATCTTTAAATCTGCCTTGCAATCAGATTAAGTATATCTGGATTTATGCTGTAAAAGAGATGGAACACGAGAAAATTCAATTTAATGGAGCGTTGGATTTAATTTTTATTTGTATTTTTTGGTGTTTGGCTAGATTTATGTTAAATTCATGACTAAATCCTAAAAAATATGGTACCAAACACCCGTTAAAACTACTTGTATCAACCAGATACCAATGAGCGTTGGATTTAATTTTTATTTGTATTTTTTGGTCTTTGGCTAGATTTATGTTAAGTTCATGGTTAAATCCTATTAAAAATATGTTACCAAACACCCGTTAAAACTACATGTATCAACCAGATACAAAACAAACACTGATCCTCCATTTTCTATTGCTTCCAGATGAATATGGCCGAGGAATTGGTCACCAGAGGCTCCTTAACATGCAGCCTCGATCATCTTCTTCAAACCACCATTAATTCCTCCCACTTACCAAACACTCGTCAATTCTCGCCTGTTATCGAATTTCCGGAAAATGACGGTTTCTTCGTGGACTCATCGCTGGCTGCTCAAGCTCAGAACATCGATGTACACGTGGCTGGGGCGAAGAATGGAAGTCTAAGAAGCCAGAGTCCACCATTGCCAAGCCTCACAACCATAAATAATCTGCAGAGCAGAGTTAATGGTGACATTTCAAGCTGTGGATCTGATATCTGGCCTTGGGACTCCAATGCTAATGTTATTTCTAAGCAGCAGTAGCTTTACAGACTGCTGCTTCGCAATCAATACTTTTAAGGTCATGTTTGCCATTTTATAAGGTTTATTATGCAAAAACTTATAATAATAGAACTTATTTCTATCTTATTTCTGCTGTTGTTGCGGTCACAATCTGTAGTGATCGTGATAGTTAATGATGATAAGCTTTCTGGTTCTATTTTATTTTGGTATATTCATCTTCTTTCTTTCATCGTATGTGTAAAATGTTTTAGATTTTTACATGCCAACCATACAAAAAGCATAATATAACATTTTAAACATCAAAATTTTAAATATAACATTTTAACCATCTAAAACCTTAAATATAACATTTTAACCACCCAAAATCTTCATCAGTGGTTCTCATGAGTGGGTTTAGGATATGTGTATCAAGTTATTATACATGGAATGGTGTATTTTTTTATTAAAAATTTAAATAATAGTAATTTTTATGTGATTTGAAAGGTTTAATTGATAATTATGTTTCAAATTAAAAGATTAAACATGACATTTTAACCACCAAAACTTAAAAAATTATATTTTGAATGATTTATATGCAAAAACTCATAAAATAATAAAGATCACGATTTATTTAAATCAAAAATGAATTTCATAATAATAATATAAATTGTATTAAAATAAGTTTTGAAAATCTTATAAAAATATAACCGTCGGCCCATAGTCTCACCTACTTTTCAACTATCCACTTCAAATCGTCAACTCTCACCGTACGATCTCCATCAAGCGGTCCAAAATGCTCTGCCTCTATCGACATGTTATCATTCCAAGTAGTTCGGATCGATTCTGGTCACCATACGCAAGGTTCGAAGAATCGCAACCGTCACTATTAACGGCCAACGGCCATGATCTCACAATATTTTCCAAAAGCCGGTCAAAGGTAATTCAACCGCCACGTGTCGGTCAGCATCTTGAGTTAACAAAAAAATAAAAAAATCACAATCCTATTAAGTCCATCTACCTCCCATCCGCTCCCGCTCTGTCTTGTCCTCGCATTCGACTGGCGTAGGGCGGCAGAGAAAATCAGGTTAAGTTCGGAATCGAGAGGAGAAAAAGTTGCGATTCAATGGGGGTTCTGAAGTTTTTGGTGATTTCGGTTCTTTTCGCGATGATGATAGCTGGGATCAGATCGGAGGATGAGGCGACGGTTAATCATGTGGATGATGCTGTAGGAGCCGAGGAGTCGGATTCAGTTCTTAAGATTGAGATCGAGCAGCTCAGGTCGAAGATCACTTCTCTAGGTGTGTTTTGGTATTGTCTGGTTTTGGTTTTTAACGGGTTTTGCTTTGGATTTTGCTTTGGGGTTTACTAATGATAATTCGTCTTACGGTCGTAGCGCCTTGCATTTAGGTTATAGGAGTGGGGATTTTATTTTATATTATTTTTTTGGTGAATAATGGCTACGACAGAGAACTGTGTGAGGTTTTTTTTTTTTTTTTTTGTAAAAAAATTATTGGTGGAAGTGGGTGATTGCTTGGCGATGAATATGTTGCCGGCGACGGGTATTTTATGAGATTTTGCAAATTTGATATGATTTGGGATGCTAAAGTTTATTTTATTGTTGTTTATGATTTTCTTGAAGAGTCTTCAACTTTGGAGAAAGCGAAGGAGTTGAAAAACAAGGATGAGAAGATTGAACAGTTGGAGAGGGAAATTGAGGAGAAGTCGTCTATTGTCGCGTCGCTGCAGAGTGAGGTAGAACTATTACAGGTGAGCTCGTGAAGGGATTTTGGTATGATCAGCTAGGAGTTAGATTTTATTTTATTTTATGTTTTTTTTTATAATTTGGGTACGATGAGGAATGAATAGCTGTGTGATGATCTCCTCCTGCAGAAAAAGGGGGCTGTGGATGCAGAGGAATTAGTGGGAAAAGCCCGTGCACATTCCAATGAACTTGAGAAGAAGGTTGGGAGAAAGATAACTGTTTTGGTTTAGGGTTTAGATATGTTTCTAGCTTTGATACATCTTGATTAACATTTTGGGCAGATTGAGAAGCTTAAAAATGAACTATTGGAGCAAGTTAATAAAAAAGATGCCTTGGAAAGGCGAACTATGGAAGCAGAAGAGAAGGTGCAGGAACTGCATGTGAAATTGGAAAATGTAAGCTCCAGAACTATTTACTGTGTTTTAATGTTTTTATATTGGTTTTTTTAGGTTGCTATGGCTTTATTCCTCTCCTAAAAAGGAGTTCCTTAATCTCGTCCAATTTGCTTTTATAATTGAAGTAGATGCAAAGCTTGCTCTGTTAAACTATTAAAATGTAGCTGTTAGTCATACTAACTAGTAAACCTCATGAGAAATCGATCTTATTGTTTGTAATCTTGTACACTGCAAATTTATTCACTAGTTTTTACAGTTTTTATAATGTTTTTCATTCAGATTTTATGATGAAGTGTGTATATCACGGGTGACCTCTTATGCTCACTCTATAGTGTCATTTTCCAAATTTATTTAGGTAAGTTATGTCAGGACCGACTCGGTAAACTTGAAATTACTAAGGCGGGAACTGACAGACGGACAGAGGAAATCTATCTAACAGTTTCATTTCATCACAAACATAAAAATCCAAAACAAAAAAAAAGCGCATTTTTATTTTTAACTTTATATTTACAACAGATGTTCATATTTAAACATTTACATTTAAACATTGAATAAACTAAATCACAATACCTATTAACTTGCGCTCAACGATGCCTGTACTTGTGCTCCCAAGGGTCCATCTAATCTATAATTGGTTTTTTTGTAAAAATATTAGAAACTATGGTTTGAGTTAAAACAATTCAGTAGATAAATTTTTCTAAATTACAGTAATTCTCATTTTAAAATATTTTGCAAAAAAAACAGTAAAAAAGAGCAGTAAAATAAATAATTTCATTTTTTTCATTAATTTAGGTTGCATTTTTATAATTGGGAGTCACTGTCTAAACACATATTTTATAAAAATATATGTTTAACTTTTTCCAACCCATCATAAAGTTAGACAATCATTTTCATTTCATTTTGTGAACGGGTAAAATACATTCCCCCGCTAGTATCATCCAGGAGTGACTCCCATATGCATACATATATTATATTTTATTTATTTTTATCTTGCAATTTACATTTAAAAAATGTTACATTTAACATTTAAAATGAAATATGAACTTTTGCATGTAAAAAATAAAAAATGCATAAATAAACATAATTATTGTAAAATAGAAAAAACTTATTACCCACCTCAGCGATGTCGTCGGCTATCATTTTTTTCAGTCAGTCTAAACTTTTGGGTGCACCTATAATAACAAATTAAATTTAAATAATTTCTTATTCAGTGCTAATCATTTTTTTAGTCTAGATTTTCTACCATTATTGTCATAATATATTTATTTAATTAGATTTTTAGTTACTTATATAAATATTTATACATATATATGAATTATTTAAACATGTATGCATATAAATGTAGAAATTTCCAAATGACATTTTAGTTAAAGCTTCTAACATTTTCCTTTTTGCATACCTAACATAATAACAATTTTATTATAACTATATTTTAAATTCAAAATTCTTAACCTCATTATAACATGACTTAATAAGAAATTAATAATTCGTTATTGAAATTGAGTTTTATGTTTGAAGTTGTCTTCCCCCTTTTTACCTCAGTTTTGTCGAAACCCTAAAATTGTAAGAGTCAACATTAAGATTTATATCTCATAATTTAATTTAAATCACTTAACATTAATAATTAAATAATTTACTCTTTTACCTCTTTAATTAAAATCTCTATCTGCCCTAATATCATTGTAATGAGCAATAAGGCTCGGTCAAGCCTTACTCCACACAAATGGAGCTCCCGCAAGACCTTTTTTCCTTAAGCTCTCGGTCGAGCTTCAGACTAGCCGCTTGAGCCTCCTTTGCACGCAGAAGGCCCTCTCTAGCGAGTCCTTCCTCTGCAAGCCGCACGAGCTCGCCTTCCTCTTATGCGGCTCGGTTAGGGCACAGGAAGAGTCGTGTCCATCGTCTCAAGCCAGCAGGAAGATTTTTCACGAGCGGTTCCTTCTCCCCAAGCTCTCGATTTGATGAAATAGGTGAGGAAACACTAATCTTCTCCTTCCTCTTCTTGCTGCTCGCGACAGGCAACTGTGGCCGCTCAGACTTCTTCTCTTCAATTCGATTGTGCTCACCGGATGGAAACGGCCAGATGAGTAACTTCCCTTCTCCTTTATCTCCTCTTCTTTCTCCTCTCAATCACTCCTCTCTTCTCCTTATATTCTTCTCCTTCTTCTACCACACTCTCTCGCTCTCTCAGTCTCCCCTTGTTTCTCTCATGCCTGCTGAGTGTGGGTTTGAATGGGAGGAGATGAGGGGAGCCATAATTTGACTCTCTCATGGGCGTCGGCTTCTTCGCTCGAACGAGTTGTTACCCGCGATAATTTTTATTTTTTCTTCTGTCATTTAATTTAAAATTTTAATCATTGTTATTATTATTATTATTATTATTACAATCTCCCCTTTTTATAAAAATATTGTCATCAAAATTTAATGTGCAAGAATATTGTTCGTAGCTTAACTGCAAAGGTACGGTTGTTTTTCTCTCATTTCTGATTCCTTCTCCCATGTAGCATCTTTTTCAGTCCCGTGCTTTCATAATACACAAACAAAATGAATCTCTCTACACTTGAGTTGCTTCACATCATAATCTATAATTCTTTTTTGCTCATCCACAAATTTCAAGTCAGGTTGAATATTAATAAGATCTGTAACAAGTTTGCTAGCCGCATCAGAAATATATTTCCGAAGCAAGAAGATATGAAACGCATTATGTACCTCGTACATGTGTCGGTAGTGCAAGCCTGTATGTCACTTTCCTAATCTTTTCCACAATTTAATACGGACCAACATGTCCTATACTCAATTTGCCTGACTTTCCAAACTTCTTAACACCCTTCATCGGACTGACCTTTAAAAGACAAATTCTCCAACTTCAAATTCTACCGGTCACTGCTTAGCATCATAATACTTTCTCTGTCTATATCAGACTGCTCTCAGTTTGTCACGAATCAGTTGGATTTTCTCAATTGCTTCATCAACTAAATCAACACCAATTAATTTTCTTTCTTCAGTTTCTGCCCAGCAAAGAGGTGTCTTGCATTTTCTTTCATAAAGGGCCTCATATGGAGCCATGCCAATACTACTTTGGAAATTGTTTTTGTGGGCAAACTTTATTAAATGTATGTGCATTTTCCAATTTTCACCAAAATCAAGAACAAAAAGTCTAATTAAGCTTCCAATATTTGGATCGTTCTCTCTGATTGACCGTCTGTTTGGGGATGAAAAGTTTTATTGAATGTAGTTGAGTGTCCAAAGCCTTTTGAACTTTTTCCCACAGTCTGGATGTGAATCTACCATCTTGATCTGAAATAATAGAATTTGAGACTCCATTTACTCGTATAGTTGCATCAACATAAATTCTGGCAAACTCGCCCACAAAATTTATTTGTCTGATAGACAAGAAATGTGCAGTCTTGGTCAGACGATCAATAATCATCTATACAATATCAGGACCCTGCCTTGATCTCGGTAAACCCATCACAAAGTCCATAGCAATTCCTCCCATTTCCACTCTTGTATAGGCAACGGTTGTCATAACCCACTAGGCTTCTGATGTTCAGTCTTAACCATCTGACGAGTATGACACCTTGCTACAAACTCAGCTACACTTTGCTTCAATCATGGCCACCAAAATAAACTCTTAATCTCCTGATACATTTTATTGTTTCATGGTTGTACAGTATATTCCGAATATTGTGACTCTTGCAGGATTTTTTTGCGTAAATCATTCACATTAGGAATACAAATTCTACCATTGTACTTCAACAGCTTTTCTTCATCGATCTCATATTTCTCCAATTGCTCTGCATTTACCTGGTCGTATATTTTTCGAAACTCTGCATCATGCGGCAATGCATCTCGTATTCTGTCCTTCAAAGTTGGTTGAATGAATATCTGATTTAATAGAGCAGAACCTTCATCATTTGGCGTCATTACTGATAACTGTAAATGCTTCATATCTTTATTTAGCTCTTCTTGTTGTGTAATTGACCAGTTAGCACTTTCACTTACTTTCCTGCTAATGCGTCTGCTAAAACATTTGCTTTTTCCTGATGATATTGTATATCCAGATCATAATATTTGATAAGTTCACACTATCTTCTTTACCTCAAATTCAATTCCTTCTGTGTGAATATACTTCAAATTTTAGTGATCAGTGAATATTTTACACCTTACCTCATATAAATAAATCTTCCATATCTTCAAAGCAAATACAACTGTTGCAAGCTCAAACTCATGTGTCAGATAATTATTCTCATGATTCTTTGATTGTATAGAGGCATAAGCAATTACTTCCTCATGTTGCATAAGGGCACGCCTAAGTCCCATTAAAGATGCATCACTGTAGGTCTTGAAGCCTTCTGTTCCTGAGGGGATAGTCAATCCTGGAGTTGTCATCAAACACATCTTTAACTTCTAGAAAGCTTCCTCACGGTAATCTATCCATTCAAATTTCACAGTATTCTGAGTCAATCTGGGCAAGACATTGCGATCTGCGAGGACCCTTCAACAAATCTCCTGTAATTACTTGTCGGACCTAATAAATTTCGAACTTTTATAACAGTGGTTGGTCTGGGCCAATCAACTATCGCTTTAACCTTGTTTTAGTCTACTGTGATACCTTCACTGCTTATGATATGCCCCAAAAATGTTATGCTTTTCAACTATAATTCATACTTTGACAACTTAGCATACAATTTATTCTCCTTCAATGTTTGCACAGAACAATGTGAAGATGATCTGCGTGATGAATCTTATAACTGGAATAGATTAATATGTCATCGATGAAGACTATCACAAATCTATCCAGAAATGGTTTAAAGATTCTGCTCATCAGGTCCATAAAGATTGCAGGTGCATTTTACAACCCAAAAGGCATTACAAAAAGTTCATAAAGTTGTCTTTGCGATATCATCTTCTTTAATTCTCAATTGGTGATAACCTGAGTTCAGATCAATCTTGGAAAACACTGAAACTCCTTCTAACTTATCAAAAAGAACACCGATCATTGGTAGATGATACTTGTTCTTGATTGTGGGCTTGTCTAATTCTCGGTAATCAATGCCAAACTTTAAGTTCTAATCTTTCTTCTTAACAAAAAGCACTGAAGCTCTCTAAGGGGAAATGCTTAACCTGATGAATCCCTTCTCCAATAAGTTTTGCGGTTGTCTCTTCAATGCTTGTAGCTTCTTGATTGTCATTCTATAAGATGCTTTCGCTACTGGTTCTGTACGACTGCACCTGATATTAAATTGATAGAAAAATCTATCTCTCTTTCTGGAGGCAAACTTGATTAATCATCTAAGAAGACTTTTGGATACTTCTTCACTATCGGTATATCCTCTAACTTCTTTGTGTCTTTCATAATATCTATGACTTTAGCTAAAAAACCTTGATACATGTTTGCTAACAATTTTCATGCCTTTAAATTGAATATTATCATATACATGACTTCTCGATCACTCACAATGTTGAAATTTTCTTCTCCAGAGATATTGAATTTAACTATCTTTTTAGTGCAATCAATAGTTGTGAAATGATTGAATAGTCAATCCATCCCTAGGATCGCTTCGAGTTCAGTGAGTAGTAGCACTACCAAATGCGCCTTGAAGCTTCTATCGCATATGGTCAGATTTACACTAACTTCTATCAACAATATGCAAAACCCGTTAGGTAGAAGAACTGACAAGACATTGAGCATTCTGAAAGCTTCCAATCCTTCAGAGTTCACAACTCTTCAGAGATAAATGAATGCGATGCACCAGTATCAATTAAAGTTCGGATCAATATATTTTGAATAAATATAAAACCTATAATAAATGAGAATATAAAAATCTCGCAATATAGATAAAGATTTGACAGATTTGTTGAGATAAATAAATACTTGTAATGAAGTCTGGTGAATCCTCTGCTTCCTACTGAGTCAGTGCATAAACTCTAAGCTGCACAGCTTGACGGATCTGACTTGGAGTTGGAGCTGATCCTGATGACTCAGCTGCCCTTTGTCTACTGAAAGTCTTTTGTGTAGGTGGAGCACTAACTCTGACATCAACTTGAGGTCTCTAGCCTAAGGTAGGGCACGATCTCGCCATGTGCCCGAGCTGATGACACTAAAAACAGTGTTGGTGTCCGACAAGCACTCCCCGCTTTGCCTTTCACACTTGGCACGAGTAAACATAATACTACTGCTGTTGTTGTCAGTGTCACTATCAGTACCATTACGGCTGGGTTGAGGCTTCTTAATACTTGACTACCCATGCTAGACAAACTGTTTGTCTGTACCAATCTAGACTTGCCATCTCTTCCCATCTTCTGGAACTCTCTACGCCTCTATGTAATCATTAAATCAATCTCTATCCTCCTCGTCTTCTCTAGAATAATTGAGTAATCCTCAATGCTAAGAGGGATTAAAGGTTGTCGAATGACATCCTTCAATCCACAGAGAAATCAGTGACACTTTTCTTCAGCATTTGGGATCAATTACGGCACATACCTGAACAACACCGTGAATTCAACCTCATACTGCACAAGGGATCGATCTCCCTACACCAGTCTGATAAACAGATCCTTCAAGCCTTGTAGTTAGCACCATGAATTCAGTCTTATAAATATTTTCAATCGTTATTATTTGCGTCCTTGGCTAAAAGCTTATATTCAAGTTTTGTAGTTAGCATCCTTATAGTTATCATGCAAAAACGAAGACGCATGTGTCTTGCATTAATTTTTTTTAGTTCATTTCATTTTTTTTCTTTCAATTCACGACTAATATAATTTCTCAAACACCACAAAAATTTTTATTTCAAGTCCATGAAATTTTCAATCGGCTGCTACTAAAATATAACTTTGTAGAATTTGTTTGTTCACACGTTTGTTACGACAAAGATTATTCACTACGATAGTGCTCAGTCAGTAGTATATTTTGGGCGCTGCAGATAAAGCCTTTTTAACTTAAATTTCTGTATGTGGTACTTTTAACTTGCAAAAAGGAAAACCTTTGACTAGTAATCAATGTTTCAGTTTTTTTTTTATTTTTTAGTTTTTTTTTTTATTTTTTTTAATTTCTTTTCGCTGTTCTCATTCATGAGTTGTAAATCTATAACAAGTTAATAAAATGCTCCTCTTATGCTCATGCTTATTTTCAATTCTATTTGAAAACTTGTTTGCCTTGCAACGTTTCCATCCTTATTTATGTTCATGCTGATTATTTAACTCCCCGCCTCTCTGCTAGCTTGAGAAGATAAATGTTGAGCAGAAGCTTAAAATTCAGAAAACAGAACGAGCTATTAAAGTAGTTGAGGTTTGTTTATACCTATTCTTGAATGTGATGATATAACTTTTTTTTTGTTAATTAATTAATTCTTATATAATATCTCCTCAATAAACTTGTTAGGAAGAGCTGATGAAGGCGCAATTGGAGCAAATTTCCAAGTCAAAAGACTTAAAAGAGGTGAGATTGTGCAAGACGCTTTCATTATATATTTGGTGTGTTTGTCAACATATGACGATTAAAATTTATTTTCTTGTTAAATGTTCTATTTTTGTCATTTTCATATTTTCTTGGGACTTTTTGCAATTTAAATTATTAATTTTTTTAATTTGGCTAGATAATCTAATGTGGTTTTGATTAATACTCATTTCTTTTAAGGCTCACATGGAGTTGATATTTTAAAACTTCAATCACATATTATATATATTCAATATTTTTATTGCTTTTGATGTTTAAGAAATATAAGTCTTTTACCAATTATCATTAATATGTTCAATTTTTTTAATGCTTTTGATGTTTAAGAAATATAAGTCTTTTACCAATTATCATTTGCCTCATCTATAACTAGGAAACATTGTATGATAGTCACATAAAAAAAAATTTTTAGGGTCTCCTATATTAGTTAAAATCAGTGTTATCAAAGCGTGAAGCACAAAGTGCAATATGATGCACAAGACTTTATTTTTACTTGAAAGCGCAAAGCATAGAGCCAAGTAGACTTTTATTAACCAAAACACTAATAGGTCAAATAAAACTATTAATATATAAACACGTTAATTAACAATTATAAAATATAAAGTATGACTTGAAAGTTAATATAAAATATAAAAAAATACGATGCAATACTTATTTTCAAGGCAAACATTGAAGGTGAACTTACGAAATTAAAATTTCAAATAATTTCTAATAGTTTTCTACAATAATTAAAAACCTAAAAATTACAAAAAGAATTATAAATCAAAATAAAATCTAAATTTAAAGCATAAATAAAGTAATGAAGTCTTAAGTTTCATAAAACAAACCAAATTAATTTAGAAACCCTTTATTCCCTCTTGTTAAATTGTGAATTGGACTGACCATTTTGTTTAAACACTTCGAAGCGCGCTTCAGCGAAACGAAGCAGGCGTATCGTGCTTCGCTTTGCTTTGCACATGAAGCGCGCTTTTAAAAATATTGATTAAAATTTTCCCCTTTGGTTGCATGCATCCCCTTAATCTAGTTCTATTCCACTTGAATTGTTGTTAGTAATGTCATCTTTCTCAAAGCTAGATTCTCGATTATGCTGACATACAATCAATCTTTCTTACCACAATCACGACTTTTGCATTATTTACACAACCCTTTCGTGAGTTCTACTTGTTTTTGTAGGCATCTTCAAGAGTTTAGCAACAATCCCACTTAATATTTGTTGCTACTTCATGTCCTTGCAAGTTTCCTTTGATCTCTTTCAACACCATCCACATCATGTTTGGGTTCTCTGTGAGCAATTTCAGCATTGTTATCATTTTGCGAGATTTGTGTGCAATTCATGTGTCATGAAGCTTTGAGCGAGAAATATCTTCCTTTCATTTTTGTAAATGTTTTTTAAGCATTATGCAAACTTATCTAATGTTGAACCAAGATGATTAGGGATAACTGATAGATGTGTTATGACAACTTTTTAAATTTTTTATTTCTCTAGTTTTTTATGCCTGTTTGATGTTTCTTTGAGTATGGTATAAGTGCAACTATGTATTTTTGGGGACGTCTTCTTCTTACATCAATATGAGGAATGTTTTTTTTTTAAATTGTTGACAGCTTACCTTGTTTCTTTGTCTATGTAATTTGATGTTGGTTTTTGCTCGTGAATGCTTTTAGTTAAAACTGCTTCATCTGGAATTTTTTTTTTATTGTTTTGTGAATCTTAACTGAAGCATGGATTTTTTATTTTTCAAGATTCTGATAGAATTTTCTCAATCTGAACGATTATTAAATTCTCATTTGGAGTGGATTTTTTTTGGTATTTTTTGACTTGCATCAAAAGAGAATAAATGATTCTTTTAAGTTTTATTTGGTGGGTCTTTATATTATGACTTGTGATTTTATGTGCATGATCCGTTGCTCTTCATCCCAGTTTTCATTATCAAGCCATAATCGTTAAGATATCATCAAAAGAAAAGGGATTCTTTACATGGGAATAATTAATTGTTATTAACAAGAGTGATACTGACGTGGTTCATATTGGTTCTTGATGGTTATTTAAAATTAGGATTTCTAAATAGAAATTTGATAGGATTTTTAGTTAAATTTTATGTTGTTACTGTGACTTCGATAGATGAGAGGCATTGAGGAGATAGAGAGGATCAAGGATTGACATTTGAGATATTTCATATGAGGCAGGGGCGTTGGAAGTGTAAAACGAACTGAAATGGTTTTGAAGAGTGTTTGTAGTTGAACGAATGCTTGAAATTTGGAGTAGGAAGGATAGATAATTATTTGGGAAGTTATTATGCGCTCTATTACAGAACTTTATTAAGTAAATGGGTGAATAAAGGATGAAGGTAGGTCTTTTTATATGGCTATCTATAAAAACTAGCACACTTTCCCTAAACCCTAAGAGTAGGTGTGAATTCTCCCAATTTTTGACCGACCATACGATCTTTGATATAAATAGGAAATTTATTATGCGCTCTATCTGTATTAAGTAAATGGGAGTATAAAAGCTTTGATATAAATAGGAAATTTATTATGCGCTCTATTATGAAACTGTATTAAGTAAATGGGAGTATAAAAAGATAAAGGTAGGTTCTTTTATATGATTATCTGTGAAAAACCTGCCGGTTTATATCTTGTACAAGGCTCAGTTCATATCTATTGGAGCACAACCAAACCATTATACTTGGCGCAAAGTATTGTAATGGTAGCTTGTTTTATGTACAATCTTTGCACCCTCTTGATTTATTTTTTCCCTCCTCTGTATTGCTGGTATAAAACTTCTGCATGACCAGGTTAACATTGGCCATGCAAAAATTTTAACGGCAGTATGTCAACCTCAACTTTTTTCTTTGGAACATTTATCAATATATCTGTAAGAATTATGGTTTCAGCCTCCGCTGTACGGCTTTGGAAGCTGTAACTTAACCAGCAATTATTCTTTGATATAGGTTCATGGAGCTTGGCTGCCACCTTGGCTTTCAAATCATATAGTTCGTTGTCAGGTAAACTGCTTTATCTGATAGTAGATTCTGTCTTTTGCCAACTCTTTTCTTAATATATGTTTTATGCCCCTCACAGGAAATTGTAGCAGTACACTGGAGTGAGCATGGGGAATCTACTTTTAATGTTTTAGTTCAAAAGGTGCCTGATTATCGACCAATGAAAATATTTTAAAACCTAGAAAGCTTTTGGAGATTTTAAGCTGAGATATATTTGTATAGATTGTTTTTATTTTTTTAACTTTTTCAGATTTCAAAGAAATCAGACCAGGCACAGAAGTGGGTTAAGCCACATTTGGAAACTGCAAAAACAGTATGTAGAGGAATAATTCGTTTATTTTTTTTTTTAATGATGTCTATCAGCTGTATTATCATTCATATTAAAGCTTTCATCCCAACCTGCTGATAAATGGCTTGTGTTGTTTAAGCTACTGCTTCACAAATTAAGAGGTCATTTGGGATTACATTTATTTTTATTTTCTATTTTTGTTTTTATTTTGTTTTGTTTATGTCTTAATTTGAATTAAAACATGTTTGGTATGTTTGGTTAAGAAATTATTATTTTTAAATGTCCAAAATAACTAAAAGTTATTTTGAGTGTTTTTAAGGATATATTTATCTATTTTCAGAAACAAAATATAAAAGCATATAAAAATCACACTAAACAAAAATATTTTAAAAAACAAAAGAAAAAAGCAAAAACAAAAAACAAAATTGATGCCGAACAGCCCTAGCCTTTTACGTGCTTTATGGTACACAATCTGTCATATTCAGGCAATGCTGATGTTTAGTGCTCTAAAAGGCACACAATCTGTCATATTTAGGCAATGCTGATGTTTAGTGCTCTAAAGGTGAATGACAGGGTTATAATATGTTCTATTTTTGCAGAAGTGGATCCCTATTGTGAAGACAAAATTGGTAGCATTTTCAAACAATGTTAAACCTCACATTGAAAAGTTATCTACCAAAACAGTTGAAGTAATTGAAGTATGCCGAAGTACTGCCACGCCACATGTTGTGAAGCTCCAAGAGTTGTCTGATCCTTATATTCAGGTACTTTTAACTTTCTGTTATAAGACTGTTTATAATGGTTCTATTTTATATTGAAAGGGTATTTCCCCTTTTTTTTTTTTTTGCTGGTCTATTGTTCATGTTTTTGTTTAGCTTACAAATTCCATCTGGTGCCCAGGACTTGAGGAAATTTTCCAAGCCCTATATTGAGCAAGTTGCTACTTTTACCAAGCCTCATGTTGAGAAAGCGCGCACTATTTTGAAACCATACACAAGAAGGGTTCTTTATGGCTACGGAAAGTTTCTGGAAACTGCTGGAACTTATCATCATCAGGTGTTTTGACTTCAATATTGTTTTATTTATTGCATATCTTTGCGATGACCACTTGGTTGAGGTTAATTCTTCTTCTTGGCCGAGAATCTTCTATTTTAGCGTGTCATTGAAAATGATGCTCTCTCTGCTGATTTTTTCTGGACTGCAATCCATTTTATCTGGAAGTGTTATGTATCTTGCATAACTTCTAGTTGTCAAGAAGTTCTTTAATAGTTTTTGTTTTAGTTGAACGGTAGTGGAATCAGGGCCCAGAATTTTCCGAATATATTATTTGAATTTCATAATCAAAATATTGGGGATAGTTGTGGAGAGATCAAGAAAATAAGGAGCAGTTGTAGAGAGAATATTTGGGGCAATAGTCCCACCTAATGTCAGATTCAAAGAAGAGACCTGCATTAGCATTTTGAATAAGAAAGTTAAATATGCATTTCTGAAAAATAATTATGCTTTTCTTTTTTTATGTTATTAATCATCAATTACCTTTACTAGTAAATGGGAGCTTGAGACTTGAAGACATCTTCTGTTAACGCAAAAGGATTGTTCAGTTAGTTTTTGTTGTAATGTAAAGCCGAACTTCTCGTTTGACCATATGCAAATATGCTTCCTTCACACAGTTTGCAATTGTCTCGGTTTGAAAATGGTTTGAAAATTCTGGATCATAAAATTCTGGATCATTTTTTTTTTTTTTTTCTTATTCAGAGCTTTTAGTTGCCGTTCAAAGGTTGGAAGAACAAGTTTTTGCATGTTCATCGTACTTGGTGATCAGGAGTGGTTATAATTTTATATACTTCCTATTTTCTGCTTGCAATATAGCTTTCCCTTTGAAGAGGGTTGGCTTTTATATATTTTTATGTAGATTGGGAGATGACACTAAATTTAGGATGGTAATTGGTGTGAATCCTTATGATGAGAATCATGGAATTGCAATTACTCCTGTATTGCGGTTATTTGATAATCTTATTGTCTTCCGGAATTAATTTCAGATATGCTACTCTTTTATATGAGTATGGCTAGGATTTGGAACACATCCTATTTGTGAGAATCTCAGTCTTTGCTTTTTCATGAGCTTAACTGTTTGATGATCTCATGATCAGACGGCTAAGCTTATAAGAAGTACAGGATTTCCGATATTGATTTCAAATCTAGAACTCTTTGGTGATTATGAGTGAGTTTGGAACTCTTTTGGATGGGTTGGAATCACTCGTGAGAATCATGGACCCTCATGCACCTAGCTGTCTGATGTCATGATTAGATGGCTGACCAATTATAGTGCAAACTTCCGAAATTAATTTCAAATCAGCACCTTTTCTGACTGGCTGGAATTTAGAGACCTCTTATTTCTCCTTTCTTGAATACAAAATAGTGATTACTTACTTTACCATTGCATTTATATGTTGTAAATTATTTTCTAGAATTTTAGATGATTTTCTTTATTCTTTAGATTCAAGAAACTGTTCAGCAGAATCTCCAGAAGCATGAATTGACCAAGCATCTGGCAACTAAAGAGTTGATCTGGTTTGTGGTATGTTTCACTTTATAGTTGAATTTATACATACATACATACATATATACATACATACATATATATATACATACATATATATATATATATATATATATATATATATATATAATGTTCTTAATTTTTGGTTATTTTTTATTATTTACTTTCTGTATTTGAAACATTAACATGCCGTATTTAAGGCCTCGGGATCATTGGCGCTACCAATATTTCTGCTTTACAGGATGGTATCATCCACTTTTGGGTTAGTCATGTTGCAACTACACGCACCAATTGCATTTTCCTTTTTATTTTCTATTTTCTTAATTTCATCTTTGTGGCATATTAGTTGAATTTTTCATCAGCAATTTTTAAATTTGGCAGCAAAAAAGCTACAAAATCTGTTCGGGGTGGTCGTTCGCATAACCATCGTAGGCACAAGCGCAGGCATGCAGATCAATAGAGAAATAGTGTACTTGGATATCTGTAATGGGTGTATCTATGAGGTATGATTATTATTTTCCATTGCTAACAGCATATCTGGCAAACTAAAACAATATAGCTGAGTTATTTTCCAGTTCCAAATTGAAAAACATTATCTCTTTTCTATTTGCATTTTTAGAACTGGATGATGATTTTGAGCTTATGCATTGTACAAGAGTGGTACTATGTTCTATTATATGAACAGCATATTGACTTGATAAAAAAAATCGTTCTGCTGATATTGTCCAAGTTAAAGTTGTATTCAATTAAATACTTCTTAGCCATGGAAATGAATGAAATCTATTCTTATTAGCTGAGGAGAAAATGAGAAGATGCAAAGACTTGTAGCAACCAAGATTTTGATGACTGTAAAAGGTATTAAGTGGCTCTTTTCTTTATTTGTCTTTTCACATTAGTTTGGTATAGGAAGTTGTTAGGCTTTTTCACTATTGTATTCTAGATAATTTACGATGATAAAGTATTTTATATCTTAGTATTGTATAAAGATCTACACACAATGTTAAAAGGAGCACACAATAGACAAGTTTTACATAAAAATAATAGTTACCCATGAAATAGAAAAAGTTGTGGGGCCTGAGCTATTTGAAATGATTCACTATGTAGTTGCAGATCACAAATGTCAGTCCTTCGCCTTAACCAGGGGCATTTGGAATACAATGTCTAGGTAGCTAACTTAGCCTCTTGCAAATGTGATGAAAATACTTGAAAAACAATGAATAATGAATGATGCTTGTGTTTGGAGATGATATTTGTGTGGCAACAGATGTCTGTTTTAGCTAGATGAAGGCGACACTGGTCAACGGATGATGCTTAGGTGATGAAGGTGAGGCAATGTTGGTCTAATAATGACCATAGATGTACATCATTCGGCGGAAGAGCATTGGGACTTTTCAGATATTTAAGAGCTCTTCAATTGTAGGTTATGTTTATGTGAAAGGTGGAAGTTATATTTATAAATTTTTTAGGATAGCATTTTGTTTATTGCAGCCATAATTCTTAAATTTTCCATGAGATGACCATTTGTTAATTCCTTTGATTGTTCATGATCCCTTAGACGTTTAAATGCCTTCATAATGTCAAAATTGAGTGATTTTTGTCGCATTTGATTTCTCTTATTAAAATGTTCATTTTGATTATAAGCATGTAAACTTGTATAATTATTTGATCTATCAAAAAAGTTCCATAAAGCTTCCAACTATACTTTGAGTATTTAATTTTATCTTATTTGGAGTTAGCTTAAAGCACTTTTTTGTGAAATTAAGCTCGTCTTATCGAAACATTCATTTTCATGATAAGTTCGTTGAAAATGGAGTTTGGATAGTTCTAAAGGTGATCCTAAAAGTTTTTTATTTATGTACTCACATCAAGGTTTGTGTTTAATTAGATGAATGTTTTGATAATGTATCATATACTTTTGTTAAACAATTCAAATTAAGATTTAAACTAATCTTAAACTTTATAAATTATTAGTTGCTTTAATACCATTTATTTCAGTCAATCTCCAAACTCAGTCTTCTTCCATCTCTTTAACATGTGAAATCTCAGCTGATCATTGATCCCATAGTTCGTAATGTTACAACTATTCTTTCATGTTGTAACCTTGTTTTGTTGGCATAGTCAGTCGAGTTAACCAAATTTAGTCCCTTATTATTTTTATATATTCTAATTTGATCATCATTTGTGTAAGTTGGGTAAGAACTTATTGTATCTGATACGATTCAACACGGATTCAGCACAAAAATCAACACAGTTTTTCACAGAAATTAGAGCAAATACATTTTATTTCACGGACACTAAACCAAAGTGATACAATATTAATACATAAAGGATAAACAGCTACAATTTGAGAGATAGAAAATCTCTCCCTACCCCTAAGACTCCAAGCCGACAATTCTTATGCATACCTAATCTTAAACTTATTAGGGTCTATTTATACCAAACAAGAATTAATAAAAGACTCAATTGCCCATGTTAATAAAAGAATAATTGGCCTTAGGTTATGTCGGCGTAATAATACTCTTATCCCAAAAAAACATCTTGTTCTTAAGGTGCTAGTGGATGAAGCTCTCATATCTCCTCGTTGCACACTGTGAAAAATTCTGATATTCGATCCTTGCAATGGTGTCCTTGGGCAAATGTCTCATCACATAGACAACATAACCCCTTGACTTGTCTCACCTGAATATTTCTCTATATAGCGCTTGAAGTTGACCATTAGACAAGCCCCAATATTATTTTCCTTTGGCCTTCCTCTGAAATGATACTGCCTGGATCCTCGATGTCATGGTTGTCGAGGTACTCTTGTGAAATTCTCCCATGGTGATGTTTCTATTGGCTTATATCCGGTTCTTGTCCTCCACAATTTGGGCTAACTCCATCGTCTCCTTCAATCCTCGTGGTCTCAATAGTAAGAGTGTTACTTGTATGTCGGACCATAGGCCCTTTATGAACTTTCCCTCCAATCCTGTTTCAAAAATCTCCTTAGTTGTCCTGATAATTGCTCGAGTCTCTCCCTATATTCCATGATAGTTCCCTCCCGAGTCGAGAAATAAAATTGTTCGTGTATGTCTTCTTCATGAATGTCTCAGAAATATTCCAACAAGCAGTCCTTAAATTTTTCCCATGATCTGATCGGGTATCTAGCCCCCCTCCATTGAAATCATATTAGATCTTCCTTTTCAAACATAACCCTGCCTCCATGAGTTTTTTTCCCCTCAGTTAGCCCATTTACCGTGAAATATTGCTCATCCTAGTACAACCACCCATGCGTTTTTTTCTCCTAAAAAATTGGATCTTCAACTTCATAACCCTTGTATCTCCACCCCAACTTCCTCTCCATCCGCTGCTTCTCTCCATGTATCGAGGGTAAAACTCTCTTGTTTAATCAGTCATATCCTATCTTGACTTCGCTTTCTTTTTTGTGCTCTTCCATACCCATTGCATTACCCATGCTCCGTGTTTCGGCCCAACTGCTTCCATTAAAATTTTTTATTCCACCCCACATCGGAGTCCCAGTGGGAGTTCTTGATGGTGAATGCTTTCCTCCTTATGTTCCTCATATTTGATCTCTTTTCCCTTCAATTTGACCACGGAATCTCCGGTCAAACATTGGTTAAAGTTTGGAAATTGGTCGTTGGTGGGTTATTGGATTGCATTTCAATAGGCTTCCTTATCATCTCCTCCAAGCTCTTGAATCGATTTTCCATGGAAGAAAACCTATCGTCTATGGAGAAAAATCTTTCTTCTATGGCGGAGAACATTTTCTTCATCTCATATTTAAGTTGGCTCACCTCTTCCAATTTTTTCTCCAAATCATATGGCTTTCTTTGTTGTCGTCATTCCCTGGCGAGTTTTCGATCACAAAAACGGAAACACTTGTAAGTTGAAATGTCATTGATGGTTTTGAGATGGTCTGAATTTCGTATGTACCGCAAGTCAATCTGATTTGATTTGACTGAACACAAGAATTGAAACATGAGAAAGATCAGAGTTTTGGGTCTCTTTACACCGCATAAAATTGAAGTCCTGAGCCTATTTACGCACATCATTACCTTCTCATCAAGCTCTAATTGTGATTGTATTGTGTAGGAAAGCTTCGGGTATCAGTAAGCAGCGATCCCGTTGTTACATTCTTCACCAACTCTCTTTGTCGTGATGGAGGCAAAGAATAGGATATTCAAGTCTCTGTCCGCTAGCCCATAGTTGTTTCCTTGGCTCGATTGCGACCATCGCACAGACAGATCTGGGAGGAGGAGAAAGATGGGGGATTCCAGTCTTTGTCGCAAGCCCGATCATTAGGTTGGAAGCAGAATTATTTTTAGGCCATAATTCTTTTTCTTTCTGGATCAAAACACTGATACAAGTTTGATACAATTCTTTTTCTTTCTGGATCAAAACACTGATACAACTTTGATACTTATAGTTGTAGTCCTCATCCTTTTGAGTCAATTTACCCCGGCCTTCGGTGTCTATTTTGATCTTTGGCTTTTGCTTTTTTCTCCCTTTCATTAATGATTTTCACATGTTATACGTGTTTACTTAAATGCCCCTTTGAGATCTTTCAAGTATTTCAAACTTGTTTATCAAGTAATAAAAGTTTGTTTTTTTTTCCTCGATCAAAATCGTATGTAAAGATATTTATCCACACTACTCAACAGAATAGTGCTGTTGAAAACAAACATCAACACCTTATTGTTGCAACAATAGTAGTGTTTCTTATAAATGCTCGTTGTCAAATTTGTGGGGATGCCATCTTGATCGCTTGTTTTCGCATTAGTCAAATCCTTTTACTATATACCATGGAAACCCTATTTTCACTCCTTAGCCCAATCAAGCACGCCGAGATCTTTGTGCTGAATTTTATTTAATTTCTTTGGATGTTTTGTCACTCGATAAGATTATTGGTGTTGTGATCCCATTACACAATGATTATATACTTTTATTGATGTAACCTTTCATGACGCCACTTCTCACCCATAGATCAAATAGGATTTAGTTAAAAATTGAAGTTTAGGTGTTAGATATGTAATATATAGAACTTGAGTGCTATGCATGTAAATCTTCCAATAAATTATTTGACAGCTCCCTAATTTGCATACGTATCACTAATAGTATATATCTTGCTAATTTCATGTCCAACATTGTATTTGCTCTCAAGTAGTAGTGGTTTAGTAATTGCAAAATGTAAAACATAATTATGTGGATGTTGTTTTATAGATCTTTAAATGTGTCAATAAGTTTTTAGGAAAATGGTTGTTATTAAAAATTCTAAAATTGAAGATTCGAATATTAATTATGTTGGCTTTGTTAAAGAGAAGAAGTTAATCCAAGGATTTTGTGTCTTTGTTATAATAACTTTATCAAGACAATCATGTAGCCGTTGATACTATTTTGGTATTGCTTTGTCAAGTTACTTGAGTATTGGAATGCTTTTCGATCTCTAGTCTTCTTACGCATAATTTCTACGTTAGATAAGGGGCTTCATTTTGTTTTGGATTGAAATGTACTAACAACGCAAGCCACCTTAGTCTATTGGTTGAAATCTGTGTTTTTTAACTAGGATTGTAAAAGAAGCTTGTTATTGATGAATAGCTTGTGTTTGGCTTCATATAGATCGCGTTCGAATAATTTTTTTTTTAAGCTCGAATTATAAACGAGTCAAACTCTAGCAATCTTTTTTTTACGATCTTTATCGGCTCATTTTAGCTCGAAAAAAAGGAATTATATATATAAATCTAAGTTTGTGGTCAGGTGTTTATCCACATTTTATTGCATATGAATGGTGTAGGTTTTAAATTCAACATCATACATCATACATAAATGAGAAATTTGAGCTAAACATGAGTTGAAAATTAAACATTTTTTTAGTCGAACACATGGGTTGTTCACAAGCCGTTTTGAACACGAGTCAATTTCAAATCTAAAAAAAATTAAATGAATAAATAAAATAAATGAACCAAACACGAACACGTTACTTCCAACAAAGATTTTGGGTTTAAGAACTTGTATATACAGTGTGTGCCTTTTGGGATTAAAATTTACATTTTAACTTCGATGAAATTTACATACTAGCCATGAATTCTCATATGTTTTTATATATTGAACACTTGGTGTCATTAATACATGTATGAAAATTAAAATGATAGTGACTTTTTTTATATGTTGTTAAAGTTTACGTGGTATCCTTTGTTTTGCTATTATTATTACTGGTATTTGTGGAATATTTCAGGAGGAAAGACGATACCATATTCTTCAGACCGCAGGTTCTGGTGGGGTGAGTCTGAAGCATCTTTTTTTTTTCTTTTAATGGGTCCGTATATTTTTCTCCGAAAGGACTTACGATTAAATCATATATTTTTGTTCTAATTTAATATAAGAAGCCATATTATTGTTGTAGCAAACAATGTAAAAAGATGAGGTGTGGCTTTCATGGGTTATTGAATTGTTATTTATAGCATCTACTTAATTTTTCATGCATAACCATAATATTTATATATTCTTCAATATTGTATTATGTTTTCATCATCATTTCTTTAAGAAAGCTGGTGGATTTGAGAAGGATTTAGAGCCTCTTTGTTACGTCTTCACCAACTAATTTTTATCTCATGCTCTTTTCTGTTCGCAATTTTCTACCCAAGTCTTAAGTACCCATTTTTACGTGTTGTATGTATATTTGTTTCTATAGTGATACTAGTTAAAATATTTTCTCATTTTATTTAAATTTTTTTAAATTTCCTAGAAGGCCGCTGACGGCGCCATCGAGGTCGCCGACGGCGAGAACTATGGTTCTCTCAATAGATGCATTGAATGTGGACGCGAATTATAAACGAGTCAAACTCTAGCAATTTTTTTTTTACGATCTTTATTGGCTCATTTTAGCTCGAAAAAAGGGAATTATATATATAAATCTAAGTTTGTGGTCAGGTGTTTATCCACATTTTATTGCATATGAATGGTGTAGGTTTTAAATTCAACATCATACATCATACATAAATGAGAAATTTGAGCTAAACATGAGTTGAAAATTAAACATTTTTTTAGTCGAACACATGGGTTGTTCACAAGCCGTTTTGAACACGAGTCAATTTCAAATCTAAAAAAAATTAAATGAATAAATAAAATAAATGAACCAAACACGAACACGTTACTTCCAACAAAGATTTTGGGTTTAAGAACTTGTATATACAGTGTGTGCCTTTTGGGATTAAAATTTACATTTTAACTTCGATGAAATTTACATACGTGCCATGAATTCTCATATGTTTTTATATATTGAACACTTGGTGTCATTAATACATGTATGAAAATTAAAATGATAGTGACTTTTTTTATATGTTGTTAAAGTTTACGTGGTATCCTTTGTTTTGCCATTATTATTACTGGTATTTGTCGAATATTTCAGGAGGAAAGACGATACCATATTCTTCAGACCGCAGGTTCTGGTGGGGTGAGTCTGAAGCATCTTTTTTTTTTCTTTTAATGGGTCCGTATATTTTTCTCCGAAAGGACTTACGATTAAATCATATATTTTTGTTCTAATTTAATATAAGAAGCCATATTATTGTTGTAGCAAACAATGTAAAAAGATGAGGTGTGGCTTTCATGGGTTATTGAATTGTTATTTATAGCATCTACTTAATTTTTCATGCATAACCATAATATTTATATATTCTTCAATATTGTATTATGTTTTCATCATCATTTCTTTAAGAAAGCTGGTGGATTTGAGAAGGATTTAGAGCCTCTTTGTTACGTCTTCACCAACTAATATATATCTGATGCTCTTTTCTGTTCGCAATTTTCTACCCAAGTCTTAAGTACCCATTTTTACGTGTTGAAAAGTTAAGCATACATATCTTTATATGTATATTTGTTTCTCTAGTGATACTAGTTAAAATATTTTCTCATTTTATTTAAATTTTATTTTACAAAAAAAGAACAAAATAGCTTATATTGCATTTCAAATCAGTCTTTTGGTGAAGCTTTAGATTTTAAATATCATTCCTCGATTCATTCGTTCTATATGGAGTATATAATGTTCAACACAGAAAAAAAAAAAGACATTAATATGGTTCATTTTTTTTTAATAGTTTCGTCTATCTTATTTGCATTCATCTTCAATGATATTCTAAAATTAATCTCTCAGATAGATTACTTTTAAAAAAATAAGAATATTCATGATCGTTTCAAATAATAAAATGCTAATAAATAAAAGCTTTTACATCTAATACAGAAAAATAAAACAAAACAACGTGGCTAACATCTTAACACTATCTTCTTCCTTCTAAAATGAAACCAAAAAAAGAAAAACATGAAATTAAAGTAACTAAATCAAACATAACCTCACTCTCATTCATTTAGAAAAAAAAAAATGACATGAATAATTCCTCGTACACTATATCAACAGACAATAAAAAGAGGGCAGGTAGTATTTATATATTCAAAATCTTAAGTCGAGAGAGGGGAGAAGACACCAAAGCCCCAAAATATTACATTACATTATTCTAATTATCATCCAAATGTACCGAATAAATAGAACATAAATAGGCCATACATTAATAAATAAAATTAAAAAAAAAAAGGGGCGTGGAAATATCTAGCCTGCCCTCCAAAGTAACAAGGAACCCCCTTCTTCTTTCTACCTCCTCTCATCCTCCAGGTTGCGGAATCCAATGGTGAGATCTTCATACAGTTTCTTGAATTTTGCAGAGAGCGCCTCCTCACCCTCCGCTGGATCCTCAAATTTCTGAGATCTGCATTCAACGACATACCAAAAGGTATTAACTCTTTATATATTGCACTGATTTTAAAAATATAACGATGGTGGTACTTTTGGAGTGATATCAAAGTTTAGGGTGGTATGCCTGTAAATATGATGTTTAGGTGTTAGATATGTAAATACATAAGAATTGAGTGCTATGTATGTAAAAGCTCCTAATATTCCTATTTACACACTCAGATATCAGAACTTCTTGCTGGAAAGCCACAAATAAAACTGAGGTAGTTAACAAAAATCTCACAGAATCAATTACATAAAAGAAAATAACTTAAATAAGATAAAAATAAAATTTACAAATTGTAATTTATGGAAATTTTAGGGGGTTTGAATAAAACTTACACCAGCCTATAGAAAAGGTCGCCAAGATGATGTTTGATGACGCTATATGTTATCTTCTGGCCATCCGATCCAGCAGCCCGTTCAACAGCCTGCGGGTTGATAATATCGCATATAAATTGAATTATTTTTTTATTTGTGAAAAAAATAAAACCTTTAAAATGAACTTGTATAATTTATGTCATTCAATCATCATCATAATTTTCACAATTTTTTTCCGAATGATTAATAATCATGAAAATTGATAAAAATTGATATCATGCAACTCCAATTTTGTACAGGTACAAAAACAATCAACATTGTAACCTCCAGTTTCAGAATTATATGTTAAACAAATAGATGCAAAAAAACAGTGAGAGAAATTTGGTCATTCTCCTCCCAGGTCCTTCGCACATACATATTTTTGTGTTGGGGATTTACATGCATACCACACAATTCTTAAGCATTTACATATCAAATACCTAAACTTTGATATTTACACTTAAACACCAAATCTTTCATATAACGTCAAAAACACCACTGCTATAAATTTTAAAAACTGAATACAACTTTTGATGCATAAGGTGACGTATATGTAAAAATTGAAGTTTAGGTGTTAAATATGTAAATAGATTGAAATTGAGTGGTATGCATAAAAATCTTCCTCTTTTATGTTTAGCAACCCTGACTTCGAAGTACTTTGTCTGGCCTCCCTAATGGTGATTGCTTCTCTATAAGCAGAGCAATGGGATAATTGAATCAATATGTTATTAGATTATAGTAAGGGAAAAGCTATCCATGGAGCCCATTTGTTTGCTTTAAGTTAAAATTCATATCTTAAGAAATATGAATTTACCAAATTTTATTATTTGATGGATGCATAAAAAATCAATTTTTAGCTTTCCTAACAAAAAAAAAATTCTATTATTGAATTGGTGCATTATAAAAGTGATACATTTTTTATGTAACTATTGATCAATTAAAATGGTCAAGACTTTCCATGTGAGAAGGGAAATATACTACGGATCCATGAAAAAATTTCCTAGTAATTTCATAAATAACTAATCAAAACTAATTTGTGAGAAATCACGTTAATGCATGCACACGAAAAATCTGTAAAGGAACATAAAAGAAGCCAGCTTAACAATCAAACTAATTTGATTTGATTTTTCTCTTTTAGCCAAATAACGCACACTAACCATCTAAATGAAAATGCCAGCTTAATAATGAAGCAAATTCGATTTTATTTTACGTTTTTATCCAAATAATGCACAACCCTGACCATCTAAATGAAGTGAAAAAGACCAAAAAAAAAACTTAAAATCTAACTAAACAGAGAAATCAAACTTTGTCACAGTTATGGTAGTGAGTTAAAAATTAAAGAGTGAGAGAGAGGTGGAACGAAAAGACTAACCTGGTTTGCTAGAGTATGAAAATGGATGATATTTCTCATCATCCATACTGACTTGTAGAATGGGCAGAACTTATCATACCTACATGGCAAGTGCAAAATGACCAAACCCGAGAAAGAGCCCCAAAAAAAACAAAAAAAAACAAAAAAAATAAACAAGGCAGTTTATCTTACGGAGTAAAAGCGTTCTGTGCAAGATAATCCTCCCTCAAAAGCTTGGCGGTTTCCAGAATAATTTTATCGGTTTCAGCCAAAGCATCTTTTCCCACAAGCTGCATCAGAGAAGAAGGAAGATTTACATACAAATCAAACAGCTAAAGTTCAAATCTAACACCTAAAACTTTTTTTTTACATACCACCTTACCTATGCATGAAAAGCTCTATTTCACTTTTTTTAAGTAAAAATGGTGGTATTTTTATGTGATACTAAAGATTTTGGTGGCATAAAGGTAAAAAAGTAAAGTGTAGGAATTAAGTGGTATGTATGTAAAATGCCCCGAAAGCAAAAGAGCTTCAAAATGGTGGTATTTTTATGTGATATGAAAGATTTTAGTGGCATAAAGGTAAAAAAGTAGTGTAGGAATTAAGTGGTATGTATGTAAATGCCTTGCAAAAAAGGAAAAAAATGCTCAAATTGTTCCCAAACCCAAACAACTGAACCCAACTCCCAGTTATAAACTTTTTCATTGACGCAGTAGAAAAACCCTGGTTGAGAATTTGAAACTATGCTTTTTATTGTGAAATATTCATATAGCAGTTTATACAAGCCCCTATCCTACCACTCATAAAAATACAAAATAATCAAGAGAAGTGCTCTCTTCTAATCAAACATCATGATCAAATGAATGTCTATAGAACCAATCATAAAAATACAAAATAAATAAAAGAAATGCTCTCTTCTGACCAAATATCATGATCAAATGAATGCCTTGGCCAAACAACAATGACCTTCAAAAAATAACTGAAAGAGCG